TAGTAGTAACAAAAAGCTATTAGAATTAGATCTAAAATAAATTCAAATTACAAGCTTCTTGTTACTACTAGTAAGGCACTTGTTACTACTAGTAACAAGTGAAGCAGATCACAATGCCGTGCATTGGGGCCAGTAGCGCAGTGGGTCTCAATTCCAGTAACATTGTTCCCACGATAATAGCTCACGCAAACGGGTTCACGAGGCACATGGGCGCGACAAATGTTTTCAGAGCTTTTCTCTTTGATGCATGTTGTTTCGTTATGTTTCGTTCGCACTGTGATTTGGGCCGCAGAACAGGAGCAAATACACGCAGCAGAGTGCCCAGCTGCCTGTTCTCAGTATATTTCAATGCGGAAAATATGCGGAAATCATTGCGTTCACTGCGCCTTTGCCAACATGAGCCCATGCAGTTTCAATCCGCTCATGACCACCGATGCTCAGGTCTCAAGTGAAAATGCCAAGCTCCGACAGGAGATCGTAGCACTTCAGGAAACTAGCCAGGCAGGATCAATCAGACCAGCCCCCGACATAGTGTCCAGACATGCAGACGTGTGGCTTTGCTCAGACAGTCTGAAGAGGCAAATGAAAGCGAGCAACTTGAACAACTCCAAGAAAGACTCGAAGCACTGGAAGTTGCCAAGGCTTGCAAACTTGGTGGTGGTGCCAATTTGAGTCGTCGGGAGTGCGGTAGTTTTGCGCACGCAGTTACATAGTGCATCAAATCTTGGTTGGCATTTAGCACTCGGTTCCCATGTCAAGGTGGCCGTGTCCAAACGAATGTAAATTTCGATATATCAGGTTGCCCAAGTAAAAGTTCTGTGTGCAAGCTGTTGGGGCAAGATGCATTGCCAAGAGGAATTGTCATGACATATGGATACATATGGAGATGCCTTTGCCCTTTGCTCCCGAAACAAGGTCACGCGACCACAGATATTGACAAGTTTGAGCAATGTGTGTTTCTCTGAATTCAGATGGTCTTGTGTTGTGTCCAAGTGTGGTGCAGTTCGGTGATGACTAGTCCACTATATATATATATATATATATGTGGTTCTTTGTTTCAAGTTTGGTGTTTCTTGTGGTCGCGATTGCTATAATGAGGATTTTGGGGCTCAGCATGCTTCGTCCGCATGCACAATGCTTATATAAGCATGGAATTGCTCGCAAAGCCCCGATTTGGTGGAATGGGCGGGAATGGGTGTAGGAGTGAAGTCTTGCATGTTGCCAGGCCGCCAAAGCACAGGTACAGCAGCTTGAAGCAAACCTGCAGGCTGTAAAGGCACGCCGTAAATCGTTTGATATGAAACCGGAGGAGCCGCTTGAAAATTAAAAATCGGAAACACTTGATTTGGTGAGCTGTGAGTGGGCACCCATCGGTAGGCCGAAGCAGCTGCAGCATTGCAGCAGCAAAACAGTGTGAAGGACTGTGTTTTGCAACTCAACATGGCGTGAATATGCGTGAATCGATGGTTTGTTTCAAGTTTGAATCTTCACCAAACCTTCACCTATTCTTTTTGTCGATCCACTCGGCAGAACAGGAGCAGATGCATGCAGCAGGGCCCCCAATCATCGTCATGCCCGCTGCACTCGCGCAAAGAACTGCACCTCCAGCAATAGCAGCATCATGAGCCCTCAGGTTTCAAGCGAAAATGCTCAACTGCAAGGGGAGATCACGGCACTTCAAGGAAGAGTCAACGCAGTCGAAGTTGACAAGGCTTGCAATTTTGGTAGTCATGTCAACTTTGTAGTGTGCCAGGGTTGCTTGGTGGATCTCTTTTGTTCAAGTCTTGTTCATATCACGGACCGGGCACATCATCAACCTGTATTTTGCAAGCTTTGTTGACAGGTTGCCGCAACGAAAGAAGTCCAGAAGCTTGAAGGAAGCCTGGCAGTTGCCAAGGTCCTGGGAACGTTGAGATGAAACGACAATGCAGTTCTAGTTTGCTGGGTTGCGTTTCGGCGTCGGGTGTGTGGCAGGCGGGGGCAGCTGCAGCAATCCAGCAGAAAGAGCAGTTGCAGGCAGCTGATCTAGCAACGGCTAAAGATTCAAACTATATTACCGTATATTGCCCGATGTTGACTGCAAGCTATTGCATTGTTGGCAACAACGGCATCAAGCATCACCTGCTCGGAGCTCGATTTGAGCTAACAACACCTCTCAGCATGCGTAACTTAGAGAAACGTGTGCAACCCACATCACATCATATGCATTAATTCACCGCCAGTGTTCCCGTTTGTCAGACCTACGGCCTCGATCTTCATAGGGGTCATAACACTTCTACCAGAATCAAACACGCATCCATACCGCAGATCCAAGCATTCCCACTGTGCGAATGGTCATGGGGCGAATATCCAAACCCAAACTGTCTTCCAAGAAAGTGCATGCCGTTGCTGACACTACAAAAGCTGCGCCTCGCTAGATGTAGACCTTATGGTAGGTCCGTGTTGAATGCTGGGGCATTTTTGTCTATACAATCGAATATATATTACATGTAATGATGTGCATCAGCCGCTCTCCAGGTCCAAGATGGCTTGGGTGTGGGTTGGCTGTTTTGGCCTGGGGGTTCATGTGGCAACCTATAGGAAAGAAGCATACAGAAAGAGTCAGAGAAGTCCTTTGCGCCCCAGCATCCCATGCGGATGTCAGCACTGTTGAGTCACATCTTCCTGCCATTTTTTGTTGGTGCAGGTGAAGCATTGCTCGGACAGCAGAAGTGTTGCTTTCTTTATTTACTACTTCATACCCATCATGAATATCATGAATTATGGATTTAGCCTTGTGGCCTTCACTGGCAACACTACGACCTCAGCCCGTCCCCGAATGATCGCCGCCAATCTAGATTTAGCGTGCCCAATGTTGTGGCATGGACCCAAACGCCGATGCCTTGCTTGCACAGGCAGCCGCAGAACAGATACAGAAGCTTGAAGGAAACCTGGAGGCTGCCAAGGCCCTTGACTTGAAGCCGTAGTGTGGCAGCGGTTTGGGTACGTAGCTGTTGGCTTTCTTAGCTGTGCCTGGACAACCACGGGTGCATGGCAGGCAGAAGCAGCAGCAGCGAAGCAGCAGCAGGGCATCGCACAGGAAATTGTTTGGCTGAGAGCTCCTGAAATAACATAATGAAGATGATAAGATGACACTATGTTTGGTTCAACTTGGAGGCTGCGGGCAAGGTAGGGCGTTGAGTCTCAAGCAACGGATCAAAACCATGGAACAAATCTAAATGCGCAAGCAGGAGCAGGTGCAGGCAGTGGGGCACCCAGCTGGTGGCGCATTGCCATCATTTGTACCAACAATCCTAATTATTCCTTTGTCCAACGGTCCAAGACGTAAATATTGAGCCTGGTATTGTTGCCCCATAGTTGCATTTGCAGCATCAGAACACGGTAGCACGCAGCGCAGGCTGCTCATTTTGAGGTCTTGATGGAGAATGCCAAGCTGCGACAGGAGGTCAAAGCATTTCAAGAAGCCAGAGACTCACTAAGCCGACTCATTCTGGTGAAGAGAGACTCTGAGAGATACTCAGACTTTTTGGCAGATTACCCTCCAGGTCAGACCTGGGCAAGCGGATAGGCGTGGATCAGATTGGAATCCTTGGTAGTTCACAGTTGCAGTTCTTGTAAATCCAGCGGTGTAAGACGTCAAAATCCAGGTCGGATGAATCCGAGACTTTTTGGAGCAGAGTCGTGGGGGCAATTGCATGTTTGGCACTGAGCCTTTCATGTTTCTTCTTGTGTGGGCATGATGGAAGGCCCCTCAACCATCACGGTGGCCAATTGCTAGGAACAGAAACATGAGCTGCGGAGCGCTGCACAACAACATCGGTGCACGAGCATGCTTTAGACTACTGTAGTAACAGTAGTATAATACAACATATGTATCTACATATAGCCCAAAGTGTCCTGTTCAAGGCTTCATTGGGGATCAAGAGCCTGACAGCACCCCTGTTGCCAAAGTCGTGGGTGCGAGATGCTGGGAAGACATTTTGGTGCACCTGCTTGCAAACAAGGTGCTCGAACGCAGCCAAAGCCAAATACAAGTGCTCGCACGAGCCAATCAGGGCCGGAACCTCATACAGACAAGACTGACAAGCAAGGACCTTGGTTCGTGGTCTTGTGCTGGCTATGTATATAGATGTTCGATAAGAGGCTGCTTGGAACCACCAGGCCTGTGCGACTCGTGATGCCACCGGTGTCTGATGCACAAGCTGCACTGGGCATTGAGCACACGTCAGCAGAGACAGGTCAGTAGGTCGAGCTTAGGTCTTGAAAGTATAGTTTGTCCAACATGCGTTGCCCAAACAGTTGAAAATTTGAATTTTGAGAGTGCCAGATGTCTCAGAAAACTTATTGCCAATTAGAAAGGAGGGGCACCTTTACCTTTGAGCATTTTTCTTGTGCCATGTTCAGCCCACAATGGAAGTTGTACCTGAACCCTCAAGTACCACAAACCAAAGTGGTTACCAGTTGGTCTACACGTTAACGACTAGCCGTGCCGGCAAAGCCGCACGGGTTCTCTCATTTTTGGAAAGTGCGGAGCACAAAACAATACAAAACAGCTCGTCGAGTCGAAGCTGCCAGTCGTTTCATCACAAATATCACATCTCGTATCACCATGTTTGCCAGATCATCGAAACAAATCTTCCACCCAGTTCTGCACATTTGCTTGTGAATTGGCCCATTTGCATGAATCGCTCATGCTCAATCTGCTGACTTCCGCCTTCATGTGCTCATGGGTGCGAGACATTGTGTGTGGAGGAGATTTTTGGTTGGGGATCGCAAGCTTCATGGCATGTCAGCATGATCCACCCGTTTGTGTTAGGGCCCTGTTCTTTCACGACCTGAAGTGGTCGAAGAATCAAAAGGAAGTTGAATTGTGCCCGGTGTTGGATCATCCTGACAAGCACGTGCCGATCAGATTGTGAAGTAGGCCTTACATTGAGCATAGCCACGACATGCCGCAACACACACGCACACACACACACCCACATACACAGCCGCTTGCAATGGCATGGGCCACTTCTGCAATCACTCAGCTTGCTGGGGCTGTTGCATTGGAGCGTCGTGGTAGGGGAGCACAAGGAGAGAAGGAAGGTTCCCTGGCAATCGACAATCCAAAGCTGTCTGTGCAAAGCATTCCGGGATTGCAAGCGCAATTGGTTTGCCCTGGCGATGTGGTCTCTGCAGAGCCAGGGGCTTTGCGGGGCCGTGGGGTGGTCGAACGAGCGGATGGCAAGCTGGTCGCTACAACATGCGGCGTCGTTGAGCATGTAAACAAGCTGCTTTATGTGAGACCCTTGAAACATCGCTATGCTGGCAGTGTTGGTGATGTGGTTGTGGGCAGGATTGTTGAAGTGCAAACAGACCGCTGGGCGGTCGAGATTGGCACAGCCCAGCTTGCCTACCTACATTTGGGGGCGATCCACTTACCTGGAAATGTTCAGCGACGTAGGACTGATGAAGACACACTCAGAATCCGAGAGTTTTTTGATGAGAATGATCTCATCTCCGCAGAGGTGCAGAAAGTTCAAGAGTCTGGCGAGCTGGCATTGCAGACGCGGAACTCACGCTATGGAAAGTTACAAAACGGAGTACTTGCTTGCGTTCCATCAGTGTTTGTCAGACGGCAGGCCCAGCACCTAGTCAATTTGCCACGAGTTGGCGTGATGGTGGTACTGGGCAACAATGGTTGGGTGTGGGTTTGCGCACCGCCCAAAGTTGCGGGCTCCGGCCGGCAAGAGACCATCAACTTTTCTCAGATGGACGTGCGATATCAGAAAGTAAACCCGGACATGATGCTTGGCCTCGATAGAGACACCCACTCAGAACAAAGTTAGAACAAATGAGTTGTCAACACTAATTAGACACAGCTATAAGATGCTATAGGTAACAATGTTGCAAGTTCACTTTGATGCTTTTTGGGCATGAGGCCTCAAGATGCCTCAGGCGTTGTTCCTGAGCACTTGCATGGAGCACAGCTGTAACGAAGCACATAGCGAGCACCTGAAACCCTGTCACTGTGGGCACTGTGGTGCGAAAAAGTATGTAGACTTATATATATAAGTAATGCTGTAAAACATCATGTGTAAGCGTGGTTCAATCAAACAGCATGGACCACGGACGTGTGCGCGGTGGATTTGGGAGTGCATTTCTAGCACATATAGTTGATACCCCTCGGATTGGCTTGTCCTTCGAAAGCAGATGAACACAAGGTGTTTGCGCATGCTTTGCCAAACATACTTTGAGCCAAGCCCTCGGCGAATGAAGAACCCCACCCACCTGTAGCGAACGGCAGCAGTACCCCTCACCGTCTCCACGCCCGATCCCTCCAGCCATAGCTTGTTGGGGCAGTAGCCATAGCAGTCCAAGCACAGCATTGCAGCGGGCTACAATCAATCATACGTATAGAGAAAAAGGAGGGGTGGAGGAACCACTCGCGAGAGAGAGAGAGAGGGAGAGACAGAGAGGGTTAGGCAAAACATATTAACGAAAAGGATGGCTACTGGCAGTAATCAATGGCAATCATATGCTACAATCAGCACTCACAGCCTTTGCCACACTGCTTGTTTGAAAAGGCCAAGTGGGACGATTGTTAAAATATCCTGGTAGACTCAGGAGAGAGCGAATCTCAAGAGTTCGCAACTCTGTGCTGTGCTTGGTTGGATATGGGCTGGAAATTACACCAGACAGTATCACTTTCCTCTACGAGCAGTTGCAGCCTCAGTGTTTCCACATAGTTTTGGTGCAAATTACACTGCATGTGTTTAAACATGTTCTTGTTTTGAGTCTTGACGCGGGACGTGTTTGGAGAGCACGGCAGCATGTCGTTCCAATATGGCAGGGTTGGGCGGCATCGTATTTGTGGTAAGCGGTAGTCAAGTGGAAGACTGAACACTCACAACCAGCACCACAGAAAAGAAAGTATCCCTGGCCCAGCTGGGCTGGTTATTTGCAGGTCACTCAAGCTGGACTTGGCAGCATGGGAGCTTTTGGACTCCGCTCGTTGCGATTCAGCCGGCTTGGTGGAAAAACTTGTGGCAGAGGTCACGCAGAGCAGCGGGCGCTAGATTCGTGAGATGCAGCCTTCTCAGAGGATGACCACAGAGGAACAAAGGAGCGCGGTGCATCGTTGCGCGGGATTAACAATGATGCAAGGAACTCAATCAGCAGAAGGAGCACGGCAGTATGCTGTTGCTCAATCTCTTTATTGCCATTGCGCCTGCCTTCACTCAAGGCATGTCCACACGCAACTAGCTGTTCAAGCATCTGACAGCGCAGCAATGTTGGCCCGAGTCAGACGAAGATATTTACTGCCTTCGTGGCAGTTGGCTGAGCAGTCAAGTGAGTAGTATGGCCCCTGTTTATATATATATATATATCTGTGTGTGTGTGCATATATGCGCTAGCCGCTAGTAGGTTGGAGGCCATCGCTAGCCGCTAGCAAGTTGGAGGCCATCGCTCTTTTGGGGAGGCCACTGCTATTACGTTCCTTAAAGTATTTTTCTTAAAGCCCATACCGCTGAAGTGCTGGCTTTTTCACACCGAGGCACACGGGATGGCACTTCTGATGAAAAGGCAGGTGCTAAACGGCTAAAAGCAATTGAAAGCATCCAATCATGACCTCAAACAGGTCACACAAAAATGAGAGCTGCTTGAAATCAATTTGGAGATGCGACAGGTGATAGAGTGATTGATGGATTCACTCCGCCGTGCTTCTCAGTCTCTTTTGTCCCTGCCTCACTTGCAATACGGCAAGGCTTTCAGAGCTCTTTTGGCTGTTCTGTCAGCAACAAGCTGCTTTGCCTTAGAGGTCACCACTAAGCAGCCCAAAGGAGTCAGACAGCCCAAATGCCCAAGGACAAGAATGCTGCACTTGTGAAATCTATGTTTGTCATCAAGTGGCAAGGCTACATACCAATTTTGTCCAATTGTGTTTATAGAAGGTTGTATAGATGTTATTTGAGCTTCCAGGCAAAGCTGGCTCTATGTTCTCCTCGCTGCGTCGTGCGTCCATGTGTCAGCCATAGGAGAACTTGTTTGTTGCCCCTTCATCAGTGTGACAAGTGTGCAAAGCCGTATTGAGCAGTCCCAAGGTCACTTGGGTTCCGCACAGAAGGTTTAAAGCCAAGAGCATTTTTTTCTTCCTGGCAGGGATCTGGCACAGCTTTGTCATGGTCGCCTTTAGTTTGAGGTGGCTCTGTTGGACTACCGCGGGTCGACACCGTGGATAAGCGAAGATCCATACGGAACTCAACGCGGCCGAAGGCCCTTCTTCCAACCGATTTCCTGCTTGGCCTGTCTCAGCATGTTTCACATAGTTCAATTTTGGCACTCAAATTGAGTCTGATGTTTCACACATGTTCAATTGTCAAGATTTTCCGCCCTAGGGCTCGCCGAAGCGTTCTTCCGTGAAGAGCCGGGCTGGGCTCGCAGATGGATCGAAAACGCCAATTTGGGAAAGGTTGAAGTTAGAGCCCAAAAGCCTCAGTGGTGGTGGCAAATCTTCAGAACTTGCAACATTAGGCTGAGCCCGTCCTTCTACAGCCACATGTCGAGCACGCCAGCTTGGTTCTGCAGCAGGCGTTGTACCGTCGCCCAGCCCCCAGCTCATCCGGACTCCACCATTTTGGTAGTTGGGAAGATTGGGTACGTACGTTTTTGGTGGATATTTGTGGCATTTTGCTGAGAAAGATGCATTCAGGTGGTGATCCATTCAAGAATTTGAGCAGTACTTGGTTGGCTGGCGGCGAGAAGGGTGAACTGCCTGAGGCGAGGGGTCAATGTGTTGAGTATGCCTACAACTTAAAATGTTGCTTGCTTGCAAGGAGTCATCTGATGAGGAACTGCTGGCCCTAGCCTCAAGGTTTGACATCATTTGGCGCTGTGAATGCTGCGCACATCTAAGGAGCAGTCTAGAAACAAGCGCAAGAAAGGGAAGGCCACTCACTTTTGCCGCCACTCGCTCGGGTCGCCCGAAGACCTCCACACAGGCAGAAGTGAGCGAGACAGAAATGGCCGATTTTATTACCGGCCTGCGCCGCAATATGAAGAAGCCAGAAACACAGGCACAAATGGCACAAGCATAGTGGAGGAATGATGGATAGGAAGGACGGAGAGTGTGAGGCCATGTTCCAAACTGACTTTCTGTTGAAATGAGTTCGGTGAGAGTGCCCAAGGTTGCAATTGCAGTACATTCACGCAAAGCAAATCCAGAACCTTGCAATATGTGTTTTCATTTGTTCAGTTGCAGAGGCTCACTGTTTGCAGGCCGTGGCCTGCGAAGAGTTGAGCCAGCGACTAGCTGGACGAAAACAAGAAGGAATTGATAGTATCGTGATCGAGGAAGCTGCCACGACTGCCTTGGAAGCAGCTCAGGCGGGGTGGAGTCAACAATGTGAATTGGTGCATAGTCGACTATGTCGACGTCACAGTCTTTGGTGCATAGGAGCACCCTGACGACATGCAGCTACACATGACAGTTTGTCCTTTGTTAGCAGCCCTTGGCTTAGACTGAGCTTCAGCCATACAACAACCGTCAATTTGTGACAGTGTTGCGTTTGTTGCATTTTGCTGCATTGAGGACCTGCTCACATTTTCAAAGGCTTCTGGCAGCACAGACATGTTTACAAGGAACTTCACGCAGAAAGAATTGCAGAAGCAACGGCAGGTGGCTATCCCACTAGCATAATTGCAAGTGGAGCTGTTCCGAACCTGGTGATTTTGCGAGACCTTGAGCAGTACATGATGAGTGCATACGGCTGTCAATTTTGGAGTGAAATGTGAACTGGTGCTTTGCTGGGTGGCAGTTTGCGAACTGGTTCAGGCTCTCGCGCTGCAAAGCTATCTTCACTTCTATGAGAAGCTGGATGGCGACGACCAGTTCGAGAAGGTCAAGCTTCAATCCAGTGTGCGAGAGTCCTGGAATCACACATGCTTGCGTGGCCTGTAATGTTTCAACATTATGAACACTTATACTTATAGGGCGCAACCATCCAGCAGCGAATCCTCTCAAGCAGTTTCTGCTACGGAGGCTACCTCACTTAGGCGCACTTGGTTTACCACCAGTAAGAACTCATCAGTCATCACTACTGGTACTTAGCAATGAGTCGCCGCGCAAAGACATATCACTTCACCAGCCCCGAATCATAAGCCATTGACACCTTGTAATATCTTGTAATAGTATGTAATAGTAATGGGGTACCTCACAACAATCAGTAGCACAAGACTCCCGCTTCATCAGTGGACAAGCTGTACCTCCTCGCCCGTTCACAAACCCTCACACAGCGCACGATTGCTTCTTTCACACACGTGACACGCGTAGACATTTGTGAGTGAACTCTTGCGCTCCTCAGCGTTCCAATGGTCCAAAGCTGTGAAACTTCCATCGCGTCAGGTCTTTAAACGTTTGGCCAAGGAGCTTCCCGTGGAGGCAGTTCAGATTTCAGAGCGGGTTGTTTGGAGCCTTTGCTTCCACAGCACCCTGTTCCCATGTTCACGAAAATTGCATAGACGGTTCCGCAGAATAATCCATTGCACCTCTTATCATAAACACGGCCGCCCCAATAAAAAGACTCCTGCCGAGCCAGGGTCCCCGGCAAAAAATCCTTTCAAACCGAAGAGTTGCCTAGGCACCTAGCGCCAAGGGATGCCAAAGGAAAACAAACTGTATTAAACAACTCGTATCAAACATCGAAAAAGCCTTCAAATTGAAGGTATGCCTTGTCCCTTTGACAATAAGAAAAGAAACTCCAAAACTATGAAAGCCAGAGTTTGAGAAGTGAGAAATTAGGGTGTGGGGAAGCTAACATTTTAACAGAAGCTCCTGATGTTTATGAACTCGGTGATGCAAAAGATGCAGTATGAACCTACCGGCATCACTTGCATCATAAGTCTGTTTGGGGCCTGGTTTTAGAAAACTGGCTGATACAAAATGGATTGCACAAGTTCCTTTGAACTCAAGTCTGACTCCGGCGACCAAAAGGGGTTCTCAAGTTGCTTTGGAGGCATTGTAGCATTCGGAAATGGAAGTGGCTGAAGCGATGGTTGAAACAGAAGGAAACTGCATTGAGGAGTTTCCAACACGGAGCATTGTTGATGGTTTAGTGTTAGATGTTTAGGTTGATGAATGGCTCCTAGTGATTAACCTGTGGCTTCAAAAAGCAGTACGCGAGCAAGGGTGCTCGCATCACATGGAGGATCAGCTCCACATCATGCATGCTGTCGGGGATGCCTTGCCTGCATTTTGCGTTTGGGACCTGAATTGATTTGCATTGTGTATCAGTACATCGGCAGCCGCGGTCTAGATACAGTATTTTGATTTTTTTTTGATGATGCGTTTTGCAACCCGATGGGCATATATAGCCCCCCGCCAACATACAAACATTGAGCCGGCTCGGCTTTAAAATGCTCTAAGGCCAATATGCACAAGAAAGCCGCACACAAGAAGTTTCAACAGGTTGGTGCTAGGGTCATCAGGCATTCACAAATCAATGCACCTTTGGCAAAGATCAGCAGAGCAGTTCAAGACCCAGCTTACAGGAAGAAGTAGTGCGTCGGCATCAGCTGAAAAATTCTGCGTTTGGTCTTGAGCCGAGTCAAATTCTGTGTGATGCGATTGGAATTCCTGCGCCAAGCAAACTCAGCCGCCGCTGGGCTACTTGAACAATGGGGCTCGGTCGGCTGGAGTGTCCCAACTGAAAGGTATTGCAATCGAGCTGTCACAAGGCATGCGAAACAGGTTCTTTGCTGCAATCTCATGAAGTTTTGTCAACTGATCAATTTTGCACATGTCCAATCAAATTGAGGTCACTTGACCTGGTTACGTGGGCACAAGATCCGAGCACCGCTTAGCTGTGCCCAAGTCCAGACATTTGTGCGGACTTTGGACTAAAGACATCCAAGGCATGCAGCAAGTAAACAGATATGAAAAGGGGGCAAGTTTGACAGCTGCGCTTGTGTCTGAGGAGCAGACTTGATGCCGACCTGGCAGGCCAACAGACATGAACAGATTGAGCAGTGATTATTTTTGGGATTGATTTAAAGTTCAAGCTGTAGGTGCTGTTTTGGGTTTTGTTGAGAAATGTTCGCCGCGTGAACTGCAACTGTTGAGGTCACAAAGAAGCAGATAGAAGAAAAGCAGAGAACCTTTGTCGACAAAGGTGCCTTCCTGATCTTCTGCCATGCATATTCGCAAGGTGTTGCTCATATGCGATCAGCTGGCAAGCATTCACGCGCGTACATACACATGCAAAATACACAAGGTGTGTGGGGGGGGACTTTGCCATGTCGGTACTGTGGGGCTCCTTTGATACACCAAAGCATCAAGAAACTGAACTCGAACTCGCATGATCATTGGGCTGTATATGATATTTGAAGGATGCTGCAGGCTTGGATCGGGCTAAACAATATCACGAGCAGCATATGCAAAACAGATGGGTTACAAGCATCACACTCTTGAATGAAAAAGGGGGGAATGCTATGGCTCTGGGGTGCACAGTCAACCTGAAGAGTGACAATCTATGGAGTGAGGCCAGAACTCGTATGTTCTAATATGTTCCATGTTTTTAGGATCCGTTCCAGGGTCAAAGTCAAAAGAAAGGAAAGGAAGGAAGGGCACTGTGCTGCTGCAGGTGTCCAGCTTGCAAAGCTGTGGCCAGCTACCAAAGCTGTGAAGTAAAGGTTAGGACCCATTCCAATGTAGCATACTTTTTGTGAACCAGCTCAGGCAAGGAAGGAGCCGTTTGAACGTAGTATGCCTTTTGTGAACCACCCGAGGTGAAAATTTAGAGGAGGAAGGGGCTATCCCAATGTAGCAGACATTTTGTGAGCCAGCTGCGGCTAAAAATTTAGAGGAGGAAGGGGCTATTCCAATGTAGCCGACCTTTTGTGAGCCAGCCGATTGCAAATTTTAGGTGAGGCAAATGCCATTCCAATGTAGCAGACCTTTAATTAGTTTTGTGAGCCAACCAAAGACCAAAAGAAATAGAAATTAGAAGAGGCAGAGGCCAGCCGAAGGCAGCGGACCCTTTTGTGAACCACCAAAGGCAAAATTTAGAAGAGGCAGGAGCCGCTCCAATGTAGCATACTTTTGTGAGCCAGCCAAAAGACGAGGTTGAGATTTACAGGAGGAAGAGGCGATTCCAATGTAGCAGACCTTTGGTGAGCCTTCCGACGGTAAATTTTCGAAGACGCAGGGGCCACTTCAATCTAGCAGACCTTTTGTTAGCCAGCCGAGGGTAAAATTTAAGAGGGTGCAGGGCCAGTCCAAGGTAGCAGACTTTTTGTGAGCCACCGGAATGTAAAATTTAGAAGAAGCAGGAGCCACTCCCATGTAGCAGACCTTTTTGTGAGCCACCGGAGGGCAAAATTTAGAGGAGATAGACCATTCTAATGTAGCAGGACGCCCTTGTGCGCAAGTGAGCCGCAAAACCACAGTCAGGCCTCCTCCAAGATGTGCAAATCCAGGCAAATATAGCTACATCTCTACATCCCTGCCCCTTGTCCTCCCGATGCACCAACAAGTCTTGACACGAAACCTTGGTGATCCTGTCTAATCAAATCAACTGAACTCCAGATTTGCAAGCCTGGTTCTTTGTTGGGGACTTCAAGCTTAGGCTAGCTTCAAGGGCTTTATCTATTGGACGATTCCTTTACAACTCATCATCACATGGCTACACGACATTCGTCTCTAAAATGTGCGTGTGGTTTGCAGATGTTTGCAGACTTGTTTGAGTTTCAAGTCTTTCGAGCCAGTTCTCTGTGTGTGTCCCCTCTGGAGTCAGGAGGTTCCTTTTGGACTGTTTTGATTTTTCTCTAGGGGAGCGGTGGGCATTCTTGAAGTCACCGCTCAACGAAGACACTTCAAGCTTGCTGTGATATGCAATCTGGACGCAGATTGCACGTGCCTGCGAGACGATGATCACCACTTATTTCCTTTTGGGCCCCTTTGTAGCTAGAACAAGACATCCAGCCTTTGCATCGGTTATGCACTCGGCAGTCATGCGTTGTCGCTTTGGAGTTGGAGGCTGTGTAGGTGTTGAGAAGGCTTGGGCCACTGTCCTGTTTTCTTATGCTATAAGTGTGTGTGTGGGGGGCTTGGTGCAGTGAAGTTTGGGCTGGCACGTATGGTGGCGACTGAGGTCCTCCACGGGTTGGTGGCGATGTTTGGCACCTCGCTTGGTTTGGAGGTGAAGCTCACACCAAGCACTTTAGCTAGTTGCATGCAGCCCCGGATGACAGTTTATGAAATTTTAAAAGTTGCCTTACTATAGGCTTTATTGTCGACAAGAAACCAAAGCCTTAAAAGTCGAGAGAGGACGCCGCCCAGGTATAAAGTTTGGGTGCCAAACAGCCAGAAGGCCCGGCTCCATCCGGTATTAAACGTGCTATTTGATCTGTTTGTTTGTTGGTGTGTGTGTGTGTGTGTCCGTGTGTTCGTGTGTTTGTGTGTAAGGAATAATGCTTGGCGTGGTTTTGGGTGCGTTGGATTTCTAATGACTTCTGCTTGGTCCAAACTGTTGTTGTTTAACAAGCGTTACGGCGTGAAATTCAAGATCAAGGTTCGACAGTTCCTATGGCATGGTGCTTTGGTTTCCTAGCATGATCAAGAAATCCTCGAATCCCCAAACCTTTGCACTGGTACTGTACCGTACTTCCATGCGATTGAAAGTTGCACTCACGTGCCGCTCCGGTGGCCAAAGTCTGTATGTTGAGTGTACGGGAGGCCTGGTGCTACAAGGGAAACTTTGTAAATGAGGCTGGTTGCAGGAGATAGTTGTTTTCTCTTCCGCGGACAGCACGCGCTACTGAAAGAAGAGACTAAGTCTTGGAAGATCATTGCACTCTCTTCAACAGGCTCGGTTCTTAGCCGAAAGCACGGTTCCCAGACATGATGAAACACATGAAAGAAAGGATTGGATGGAAGGGAATTGGCGTTTGTTTACTCAATGAGGTAGTTGTTGGATTGCGTTACACTGGGGAAGCAGCATGGTAAATGCAACACGTGCAAGTAGAAATCATCAGTCAATTTGTTTTTTGGTAGTCAGCCCTTGTGATCACCTTGTGTGCTAAGGCCAGAAAATGGACTTCGCTTGGCTCAGTGTGGAAACTGCCCAGAAGCTGTTCGAGAGAGACCCTACCATTGAGGAGGTCCAGAAGTTAGGGGAGTTTTGCTTATTGTCTTAGACAGCTTGGCAGGCGTTGCAATACCACGTTGTGGCGGTTGCCACTGATGACAAGAGATACTTTTGGAGTCTCCTGACTGTGGGCGTTGGCCACGCTGAGATATTCTCATTCACAATCATTCAGGTCATGCTTTCGTCCAGTTTCTCACCGTCTTGCAAGAGGAAAGCGATTTTCCATATGGCCAGGTGCACGCAATGCTTTGTCTTGGTTTGTACTTCTGAGATGCGTCAAATAGCGCAAATGGTCCAGGTATGCTACACTGTCAAGGATTTTCAACGCAGATACCCACAGGTGCCAAAGCCCTTTGTAGTGTGCCACGGCCTTTACGAAGGCCACTTTGACTGAGGCAAAGTTTCCAGTGCCAGGAAAGTACACGGTGGTGGCGAAAAGTGAGGCAGCTCAACATGCTTGCCTTTCTTGCACTCAACTAAGTCACGTCAGTCATATGACTGATTTCTGTGCTTCCCCCCTCTGCAATGTCGCAGGCCGTGACTCTGCCCGTGCCTCCAGCTATAAGCAGAAGCCATGCCGCCAAATTCCACGGGTTTAGATATGGAGATATGGCATATATAAATTGTATGTTCATCCATTGTGCTGCCTGTTTTGGCTTTGATTGCTGTCCCTGCGCACGCTGGACGGAGCAAACTGGATTAACTTCAAGGGCTTTTGCAGATTGCCGCAATCGGAGATGTGTTGCTCTTGTGCCAGGGCAGTTTGCCATTCACATTTCTTCAGACTGCACCGTCCAACTAGGGCCGAACATGCAAAGACTGACGTGCGATTCCGGAGCAGCTGCGTAAGACATTTTAGATTCTTATATATATATAGATACTATATATATATATATCTGTCTATCTATCTATATATTATACTGTAGTCAATCTTCATGGCTGAGCGGTTGAGTTGATGCAGCAGATCAACGATCAACTGATCTAGTGGCACCGCTTGATGTAAACGAGGAAGTTGCTGGCCCTGTTCAGGCACCAGAGTAAAGTTTGTCGCCGTGTGATCGCTCGATTTGTTGTTGGGCAGCCTCAGGTGGCACTGGCCACAATTTCCAAAGGGCTCAACAAATTCAAAATGTTGATGCGATCCCGAATCGAAGTGTTGATCAGGAAAGGCCAATGAGCGTTGGCCACAGGTTAAAGCCACTCCCAACCCAGAACAGCTCGCCCCACTGTCGTGGCTGCGCAGTAGTTTTGACTCAAATTCTCCTCTCGATTTGGTATGATATTGAAACTGAAACCATGCTTCCAAGCAGTGTGAACCCATGCCTCCGGGGCGATAACCGAACGTAAGTGGGGAAAAGCAACGAAAAGGTTGAATTAGTTCACATGTTCAACTTCTTGATTTCGGGTTTTTGCGTGCACCATTTTGTATTGCTGACACTTTTCATAGGAATTAATTTGCGTCTTGGACAATCTAGGGGTATGTCATATAGATAATGTGGATTCATGTAACGTCTACGAACAGAATGCCGCTTCCCGTTCAACTAGATGATGGCGCCATTCAGTGTCGAATTTGCTTACTATTACTGTAATTAAATTTGAGCAGCTTGGGGTGACTGTTCGTCCAGCTGTTTGTGCGACCCCAGCACCAATTGGTGGTTTGTTCCCTTCTTCAGCTAAAGCCGGTGGCTTAAACATGTTGAAAGAACTTCCACGTGCACCCGTCATTTCGCACATTCTAGGGGAACTTCTACCGCTA